CAGTGGAGTTTCCAGATTAAGACAGACTAGGAAGAAGGACCTGGTGATCTACTTCTGAAAAAATTGCCAGTGAAAAACCTTGTGAATAGCAGCAGAATATTGGCTGGTATAGTGCCAGGAGATGAGCCCCTCAGGTTGGAAGGCACTCAAAATACAACTGGGGAAGAGCTGCCTCCTCAAAGTAGAGTTGTCCTTAATGATGTGGATGGAGTCAAGCTTTTGGGACCTTCATCTGCTGAGGTGGTATGACTAAAAATGAAAAGAAATAGCTGCAAACATCCATTAATAATAGGAACATGTGACGTACAGAGTATGAATCTAGAAAATTGGAAATCATCAAAAATGAATCAATATCTTTAGACATTTGTAAGCTGAAACGGACTGGTATTGGCCATTCTGAATGGGACAATCACATGGTCTACTATGCCAGGAACGACAAATTGAAGAGGAATGGCGTGGCATTCACAATCAAAAAGAATATTTCAAGATCTATCTTAAAGTACAATGCTATCTGTGATAGGATAATATCCATAGACCTACAAGGAAGACAGGTTAATACAACTACAATTCAAATTTATGCACTAACCACTAATGCCATAGATGAGGAAATCGAAGATTTTTACCAACTTCTGAAGTTTAAAATTGATCAAACATGCAATCAAGATGCATTGATAATTACTAGTGATTGGAGTGCGAAAGTTGGAAACAAAGAAGAATTGGTAGCTGGAAAATACAGCCTTGGTGATAGAAATGATGCTGGAGATGGTATGATAGAATTTTGCAAGACCAGAGACTTCATTTCACATACCTTTTTTCAACAACATAAAAGGCGACTATACACATGGACCTCACCAGATGGAAAACACAGGAATCAAATCAACTACATTTGTGGAAAGAGAAGATGGAGAAACTCAATATCAGTCAGAAGAAGGCCAGGGGCTGATTGTGGAACAGACTATCAGTTGCTCATGTGCAAATTCAAGTTGAAGCTGAAGAAAATTAGAGCAAGTCCACAAGAGCCAAAATACAACCTTGAGTTTATCCTACCTAAATTTAGAGACCCTCTCAGGAACATATTTGAAGCACTGAACACTAATGACTGAAGACCAGACGAGTTGTGGAATGACATCAAGGACATCATACATTAAGAAAGCAAAAGGTCATTAAAAAGAGAGGAAAAAAAGAAAAGACCAAAATGGATGTCAGAAGGGACTCTGAAACTTGCTCTTGAACTTTAAGTAGCTAAAGTGAAAGGAAGAAATGATGAAGTAAAAGAGCTGAACAGAAGATTTCAAAGCGTGGCTGGAGAAGACAAAGTATGGTATTATAATGACATGTGCAAAGACCTGAAGATAGAAGACCAAAAGGGAAGAGCACGCTCAGCATTTCTCAGGTTGAAAGGACTGAAGAAAAAATTCAAGTCTCGAGTTGCAATATTGAAGGATTCTACGGCCAAAATATTGAAAGATGCAGGAAGCATCAAAAGAAGATGGAAGGAATACACAGAGTCACTGTACCAAAAAGAATTAGTTGACTTTCAACCAATTCAGGAGGTAGCATATGATCAAGAACCTATGGTACTGAAGGAAGAAGTCCAAGCTGCACTGAAGGCATTGGTGAAAAACAAGGCTCCAGGAACTGAAGGAATACCATTTGAGATGTTTCAACAAACAGATGCAGAGCTGGAAGTGCTCACTCATCTGTGTCAAGAAATTTGGAAGACAGCTTCCTGCCTAACCAACTGGAAGAGATCCATATTTGTACCCATTCCAAAGAAAGGTGATTCAACTGAATGAGGAAATTATCAAACAATATCACTAATATCACACACAAGTAAAATTTTGCTGAAGATCATTCAAAAGCAGCTGCAGCAGTACATTGACAGGGAACTTCCAGAAATTCAAGCCGGGTTCAGAAGAGGACGTGGAATGAGGGGTATCATTGCTGATGTCAGATGGATCTTGGCTGAAAGCAGAGACTACCAGAAAGATGTTTACCTGTGTTTTATTGACTATGCAAAGGCATTCAACCGTGTGGATCATAACAAATTTTGGATAACACTGTGAAGAATGAGAATTTCAGAACATTTAATTGTGCTCCTGAGGAGCCTGTACATAGACCAAGAGATAGCCATTCCAATACAGCACGGGGATACTGTGTGGTTTAAAGTCAGGAAAGGTGTACGTCAGGGTTGTATCCTTTCACCATATTTATTCAATCTGTACGCTGAGCAAATAATCTTAGAAGTTGGACTATATGCAGAAGAACTCGGCATCAGGATTGAAGGAAGACTCGTTGACAACCTGCGCTATCGAGATGACATGACCTTCCTTGCTGAAAGTGAAGAGGACTTGAAGCACTTACTGATGAAGATCAAAGATCACAGCCTTCAGTATGGATTACATCTCAACATAAAGAAAGCAAAAATCCTCATAACTCAACCAATAAGCAACATCGTGATAAATGAAGAAAAGTCTGAAGTTGTCAAGGATTTCATTTTACTTGGATCCACAATCAACACCTGTGGAAGCAGCAGTCAGGAAATCAGATGACACATTGCATTAGGCAAATCTGCTGCAAAAGACCAAGATGCACTTTAAGGACTAAGGTGCACGTGACCCAGCCATGGTGTTTTCAATCTCTTCATACACATGTGAAAGCTGGGCAATGAATAAGGAAGACAGAAGAATTGATGCCTTTGAATTATGTATGGTGTTGGTGAAGAATATTAAATATTAGTCTGCCAGAAGAACGAACAAATCTGTACTGGAAAAAGTACAGAGAGGATGCTCTTTAGAAAGCAAGGATGATGAGACTTCATCTTACGTACTTTGGACATGTTATCAGGAGGGACCAGTCCCTGGAGAAGGACATCATGCTTGGTAAAGCAGAGGGTCAGAGAAAAAGAAAAAGACCCCCAATGAGATGGATTGACACAGTGGCTGCAACAATGGGGCTCGAGCATAACAACGATTGTGAGGATGATGCAGGACCAGGCAGTGTTTCCTTCTGTTGTACATGGGGTCACTGTGAGTTGGAACCAACTTGATGGCACCTAACAACAACAACAAGGAATGATATTATTATGACATATTCTTTGACATTTAGAACTATGTGGCATTTCACCTGTACTGAGAAGTGCTTGATATATTTTTATACAGAATCAAAATAATACTGTTATAGGCAATAAAAAGAAAGGATCAACTTGGAAGTAACAGGAATAGCTCAGGAGACAGACTGAGTTGTCAATCAGGACAGCTTCCAGCCAGGGCAGCTCTCAGCTCCATGATGGCTGTGCTAGCCGGCAGGCCATGCTCAGCCTCTGCTGCCGGGGACGCTCGGCCTGACCGTGGCCCTGCTCACGCTAGTGTTGCACCTCTTACGGCTCCCGCAGCAGCCGCCTCTCTCCACAGGCTGGGAAGCTCAGCGAAACAGACTCACACCAGTCAGTCTTCCCGTTCCCATTGCTGCCTCCCTGTCCCACGCTGTCTTTTGCTGTCTTCAGCGTTACAGCTCTCTCTGTCTCCTGGGTCTAGGAGGTTCTCAGCGCAGTGACCCTGGGTCCAAAGGACATGCTCTGCTCCAGGTTCTTCTTCTGGATGGTAGTGAGGTCCCCTTCAAGCTCTGTGGGATTAGCCCTGATAAGCCTAGGAAGATGACAAACTGACAGATTCCCTAGGTAGGCCATGGTCACTTAATTTGCATAGCAATTGACCAATCCCGAAAGAGTTTTACGCAACTTATTTGCATGGTGAACTGTCCAATCCCTGCGACGTGCGTAAAATAGACCAATCACAGGGCAAGCTGTGGCTCAAACAATTATTTTTGGCAGAACTACAAGCCCAGGGTCAGAAAGGCCATAAAAGCAAAACCAAATGAGTTGTTGTCGAGTTGATTCCAACTCACAGCGACCCTAGACGTGCCCCATAGAGTTTCCAAGGAGCAGCTGGTGGATTCCTAACTGCCCACCGTTTGGTTAGCAGCCAAGCTCTTAACCACGGTGCCACTGGGGCTCCCAGAAAGGCCATATATAAATAGAAACTCTTCACTGCAGACGCGATTGGAAAATCTCAAAAAATTGAAATACAAAAAATAATAGATTTTACTACTCAGTGTCATGTAATTCAGTTTCACTGAAGAGATAAATAAGATAGACTGGCAAGCATGACTGGTGGAAAAGGAAGGCAAAAATATGTTAATAGCTGGCAGGAGGAAGGAGAGAAACCACAGAGCACAGAAAAAAAATATGTATCAATTTACTGCAATAAATTAGATTTCCTAGGAAAGTATAATCAAATAAAATGGACTAACAAGAATTAAAATATCTGATTAGGCTAATAACTAAAAAATTAATGGTACAAAGGCAAATTTCTGACGCAATCCCTTTATCTGGATTGGAACGCCTTCTGGCGTTTTTCTTCAGCCGAGAAAACACGAACTTACGAAACGAAACGTGGTCAAGTCAGCTCTAAAGGCAGGGCTCGACCTTGCAGGGCAGCTGTGCTCTGGGCGAGAGGGCAAACGCGCCCTCCGCCTGCGCCTCAGACGTGGCCTTCTGGAGCGCCACTTTGGGGGAGGCTGATGTCCCCTCTGTCTTCCCCGCTAGTTTCTCCCGCCCGCTGGTTCCCATCCCGAGTCGCCCTAACCGCGCCGGCCGCCCCCGCGTGCCGAGGACTCCAGACCCCTCCGTCCTTCCGGAGGAGGCCCCAGCCCGGCTTCCTCCGGGCCTCCGGCACGCCTCCTCCCGCCCCGACCTCACGGAAGCTCCCGGGATTGGCCCCCGCCCCAGGCAAGGCGCCCCGATTGGCCGACGGGGACACGGCGCGGGGACAAGGCGCTCGGCCGGGCCTGGCGCGGTGA